ATCCATCCATCCATCCATCATCCATCCATCTATCCATCCATCCATCCATCCATCCATCACCCATCATCCATCCATCATCCATCCATCCATCTATCCATCATCCATCCATCATCCATCCATCCATCCATCATCCATCCATCCATCCATCCATCCATCCATCACCCATCCATCCATCATCCATCCATCCATCCATCCATCCATCCATCCATCCATCCTCTCACAGCACAAGTCACAGTGCAGACAGCCACCACACCCAGAGTGTCACCACACAGTATCAGAGAGCTTCAACCCATCCAGAAGAACACCACGTCACTTCAGAAGGTTTCAAACCTCGGCCCTTGTTGTTCTTTACACCCCTTTTACCCCCTCGTGTTCCTGCAGTGCCCCTGAGTGCCTCTGTGCCCTCAGTGCCCGCTCAGCACACCTGGGCACTACCACAAACCTACAGCACCTGGGCTGAAACAACGTCAGCACACCCCTGGAATGCCTGGGATTTTTAGGTTGTCTGTGGGAAAACAGCCAAAATTCACAAAAATTCTAATTGACAGAAATGCAGCTTTATTTTTTTAAAAAAATGATATCCCAAGGACCGGCTCTAATTTGGTATAAATTTATTTTATATTCCTAAAAATGGGTTGGGAAGGATCTTTAAAATCACCCAGTCCCACCCCTTGCCATGACCAGCAGATCAACTTGTTCCAAGTCCTGTCCAGCCTGGCCTTGGACACTTTCAGGGATGGGTTTTTTTGACCAACTCAATCTGCTCCAAGTCCCAAAAAGAACCTGCAAAAAGCTCCCAAAAGTGATTCCATCCATGGCAACCATGGGGAGAGGGTGGGTGAGCTTTACACACTGATTATAAATATAATTAACGCTCTGCAAAACAAAGGGTTGCAATAGTGAGCAGTGCAGTTAAAACACCTTGGTTTATAAATGGGTTTATGTGCTTAAATACTTCCAAAATATTTATATGGAGAAATAGGAAACATCCATGTGTGTGCTGGGGGTCCCACGTGATGGAAAATACCCTGGAAAGCTGCAAAAATTGTCCTTTACTAGCTCCCAACCCAAACATGCTTCCTTCATCATTGAAAACATGAATTCCCACAGCTGCCAGTGGAGTTTAGGGTTGATTTTCCAACCCCAAATCTCTCAGTGAGGGGTTGGGGGCTCCCTTTGTGACATAAAGGTTCCCCTTGTGAAATCTCTGCATCCCAATATTCGTTATTCTTATTTAAGGTGCAGAAGTAAAACCAGACTCCAAGTGATTCCATTTTCGTTTCCTTGTGTCTGAAGATGAAACGAAAGCCCTCAAAAATGAACTTTTGTCAGTGTATTTCAAAAGTCTGTTTATTTTCAGGAATTTTTACCTACTCAGAGGCTGTTGGGAATGTGTTCCATGTGAATAATTAGCCAGTCAAAGCCCATCAAAGAGATTTGGAGGTAATGAAAAGAATTCATCACTCCTGTGCTGCCTAAGTTGAAACAAATGACACAGGAATAAATATCCAGGCAAATGGAATCGTGCCCCTAATTAGAAACAATTTGGGATGGTTTGGAAAAAAAAAAAATAATAATACAAACACACAGAAAATCTTATTCCTAAACCATCTCAATTAAAACTTTACCTGAGCACAGGCTTTGAAAATTTGTGTTTATTGGTAAAAATAATCACTGTGCTAATTTTTGACACTAATTTAGCAAACCCGTTTGTATTCACCTATTTGCATTTCATCTTCTCCACTTAAATTAACAACCTGAAAATCGCCACAAAAATCTAATTAAACCCTCAAACTTAATCAAGTTAGGGAAAAAAAGGGGAAAAAATTAAGCAATTTGTCCTTCCATTATGGGTGAAACCTACTTATGATGGATTCCACGATTCTGGTGTCACTTTATATCAAGGAGGAGGGAATATTAAGTGTGAAATCCAGGATTACAACAGGCCAAGAGAGGTTTGGGTTGGGAGCAGAATGAATTATCCCCGTGGGTAACAGGTGAAACAGAGGATTGTGAGATGAGTTTGCTCTAAGATATTCAGCAAATGCCAAAAATTGGGAAAAAATGAGAGAAAAATGTTAATGTGTTGTTAATTTACTCAATTAAACTATTTACTAGACAAGCAGGGGAGGATGGCTGCATACAAGGCTATGAAAAAGTCAGAAGCTGTAAAAGCTGATTTTGATAATTAGGCTCAAAATTCATCTGGTTCCAAAATGGTTTGGATTGGGAGGGAGCTTAAAGCCCACCCAGTGCCACCCCACCCATGGCAGGGACACCTCCCACTGTCCCAGGCTGCTCCAGCCCCAGTGTCCAGCCTGGCCTGGGACATTCCAGGGATGTGGATACCTCTGAGAAGATGAAAGCAGAGAGACAGGAATTGGGAGTGCATTTTTCAGTTAAAAAATTTAAAAACTGGGCCAAGCAGATCAAAGCTCTTTCTGCTCCAGTGCCCTGAATTCTACAGTCCCACAAATTCTTTGGGATAAAGTAATTAACTGGAAATGTGGCTGAGCAGTGAGAAGACACAGCCAAAGGGACAGGAGAGATCTCCAGAGAGGATTCAGGGAACCTCAGAGCCCCTGGCAGGAGTGAAGGGGCTCCAGGAGAGCTGCAGAGGGACTGGGGACAAGGATGGAGGGACAGGACCCAGGGAATGGCTCCCACTGCCAGAGGGCAGCCAGGGATGGGATCTTGGGAATGAGGAATTCCTGGCTGGGCTGGGATTGCCAGAGCAGCTGGGGCTGCCCCTGGATCCCTGGAAGTGTCCAAGGACAGGTTGGATGGGGCTGGAGCAGCCTGGGACAGTGGGAGGTGTCCCTGCCATGGATGGGAAGTAGAATGGGATGAGCTTTAAGATCCCACCCAAAACCATTCCACAATTCAACACATTTGGCTTCAAACTGCAGCATGAAAATGAAATCCCTTCTCATTTCCCAGCAATATCAACTCACGGGCCAGGCTGAAAATCCTGGCAGCTCTTGGCCTCCAAAAACAGCCTCAGCTTTCCTCTCTCCCTGCACTGGGACGTTCCTGGTGCTCCCCCAGTGTCACCAGTGTCACCTCCACGGATTCCCTGTGCCTGACAGCCCCAGCCCCACTTTGCTGCTCTCGTCGTCCTCATGGAGGATTTTAATCCATCTCAAATTTCAGTGATACAAGCTGTGCTCTGGCCCTGCACTTACGAAAAAACACAAGACAGAACCTGAAAATCCACTTTAAAAGGCAAGAAAAAACTCAGATATTAAAAATATCCACTTAAAAGCCACCCAACACCACCTCCATTTAAATCCTTAGACTGGGCACTTGCAGCTGAGCCAGGTTCCCTTCTGTGGCAGTTTGGGTGAAAGTCATGCTTTTGA